CTAGCCATGAACTAAAACATTGCGACTAAAAAACTATTTGGGCTTTGAGCCGCTCAGTGCAGGTGTTAAACTGAAAATAGCCTGTGTGCCTACCACAAGTACTTTAGAGAAGTAACGTTACTTACATCTGAAGCGCTTAGGCCTCTATCTGAAGCACTAGAGGTGCTCTGTTCCTCATCCATGCTGTCTATTTTGAACTTGAACTAGCTTTCGAATTCGAACACGGAGCAGCGGGAAGGAATTGTCTCTAAACAAGTGTGCGACTGTGCGTGAGATTATGCCCAGCCCTACCCGACAATATTCAAAAGTTTAGGCTGCTTAAAACGTTTTTATTGCTGCCAATCAGAATCTCCCTCACAACTACAAATTATGTACTCTACTTTAATCATTTATATATTTTATTTGACACTCATATTTAATTTGCGGGAGTGCAGCGCATCATCCCTCACGACCGCACCCGCAAGTGCACCTCATCATCCTGCTCACTCCCGCATTGACCTTTCAAAATTTCTCCCGCGCCGCACTGTTTTGCGTCGCGACCCGCGGGTCCCGCGGGGGTGCAGACCTCTAGTGTAGACCCATGGAGGTTTCAAAATCCAACCTCCAAACAGTTCTCTTTCTTTTCTCATGTCCACCATTCGTTCTCAAGGATAGATTACTTTTTTATAGATAGCTCTTTCATCCCTGCAGTGGAATCGGTTGAATATTTAGCCATTGTCATTTCAAATCATGCACCACTCATCTTAGATCTTTCTTTCACTTTGAATGTTAGAGAGCAATCCTTCTGGAGACTTAATTCCCTACTGCTTTCAAACGAGAAATTTTGCGAATATGTGGCTACCAATATAGATACTTTTATGGAAGTAAACAAGAATGAAGGTATATCATACTCCCTACTTTGGGAAACCTTAAAAGCATACTTAAGAGGACAAATTATCTCCTATGTAGCACATGTCAATAAGGAACGCCGCAAACAAATACAAGACTTGATGGATTCAATTTTTAATCTAGACCGCAAATATTCTGAAAGCCCATCCCCAGTATTATAAAGAACGGATAGCTTTACAGTCTAAGATTAATCTTCTATCCACCAACCAGGCTGAATACTTATTACTGCGGACACGTAGCACTTATTATGAATATGGGGAAAAAGCTAGTCGATTGTTGGCTCACCAGCTGAAACGTCAAGCTGCTTCACGGCTTATACCCCAAGTGAGAGATCAAGATCAAAATCTAATTACCAACCAAAAGGAAATCAATAATACTTTTGCAAGCTAAGATTACTTTACTCCTCAAAAAGGACAAGGACCCTACTAACTGTGGCTCTTACCGTCCTATCTCCCTCCTAAATATTGATATAAAAATCTTAGCCAAGGTGATGGCACATCGTTTAGAATCTGTTCTCCCTAAAGTAATCTCTGAAGACAGACTGGTTTTGTAAAGGGTCGCCACTCTTTTTCGAATATTCGCCGACTTGCTAACGTAAATCTACTCCCCCGGTCCCTCCCCAACTGCAGAAGCTGTAATCTCTCTGGACGCAGAGAAGGCTTTTGACCGGGTGGAGTGGAAATACTTGTTTACCGTATTGGAAAGGTTTGGTTTAGGTGACACATTTTTGGCATGGATTCGTCTGCTCTATTCGTTCCCACAAGCATGTATTCAAACTAATGAATCTCATTCCAATTTTTTCCCCGTCACGTGGGACATGTCAAGGATGTCCTTTGTCCCCGCTCCTCTTTGCAGTGGCAATTGAGCCTCTTTCGCTTGCATTGAAGTCGTCGCCGTTGTTATGGGGGGTTGAGCGTGGGACTGAAGAACATCACGTCTCTGTATGCTGATGATCTCCTTATTTATGTAAGCAATCCAGGAACTAGCGCCCCTGTAATTGTATCACTATTGAACAATTTTGGGTCTTTTTCTGGCTACAAACTTAACTATCAGAAAAGTGAATGTTTCCCCATTAATGATTTGGCAATGCAAATTAAACAAGAAGCATTTCCCTTCCATTTAACACATTATTGTTTCAAATATCTTGGAATAAACATTACGCGTTCCTTCTCCTCTCTTTTTGGGGCCAATTTTACACCTCTAGTCAACCAAATGAAAGCTGACTTTCAAAGGTGGAGCAGTCTACCTCTGATCATTGCAGGGAGGGTACAATCGGTGAAAATGAACGTACTCCCAAAGTATTTGTGTTTGTTTCAATGTCTACCGTTATTCCTGACTAAATCATTTTTTTTAGTCAGTTAACTCACCCATTACTTCCTTCATATGGAAGAATAAAGTTACAAGAGTTAACAAATGCTTGCTTCAGAGGGGTCGTGATGTGGGGGGATTAGCTCTCCCCAGCTTTATTCACTACTATTGGGCAGCTAACTTACAGAAAATTTTATTTTGGCTTCATGTGCCAAACACCGTCTGGTGTACACTTGAGGCACACTCTTGCCACTCGTCATCACTCCCTGCTTTGGTGTACTCCTCCCTGCCCACAAAGTGGTCCAGGTTTACCTCCAATCCTATAGTACTGTCTACCCTTAGAATTTGGGCCCAGTTTCAAAATCATTACAAATTCACCTCTCCCTCCCCCTTAAGCCCTATCTGTAAGAATCATTTATTTCCAGCCTCCTCTCTTGACTTAACATTTACTCAGTGGGACAGGAAGCAGCTTTCCTGTTTTAAAAGCTTTTATTGTAAAAAGGGGTTTGAAAGCTTTGATAACATATGCCAGAAATATGATCTTTCACGCAATAACTTCTTTAGATATCTTCAAATATGCCACTACTGTGTCAAAGCACTGTTCCCTTCTTTCCCGGTCCTCCCTACTGAGGCACCATGGGAAGATTTGACCCTTCTCTGTCCAGAAAAAGGACTGATATCACGGTTATATTCTCGACTAATGTCTCTGGAAAACTAAGACCTTTCAAAATTTAAGACTAGGTGGGAAGGCGAGCTGATGGTTGAGTTGTCAGATAGACAGTGGGAGGATGCACTACCTTAACCTGTGCACGTTTGGGGCTCATCCAGTTTAAGGTAGTACATAGGGCCCATTTCAGTAGGGCTAGACTAGCAGATATATATCCAGGAACGGACGGGAGTTGAAATAGATGCTCCCTCTCTCCAGCCGATTTAACACACGCGTTTTGGTTGTGCCCCCATCTACATCAATATTGGTCATCTGTTTTTCAAACTTTATCCGAAGTTTTAAAAATTCAAATTAAGCCCTGTCCGTTGATTGCAATATTTGGTATTCCAAAAGAAAAGCTTAACTTTAACGCGAGACCAATCGGACATTATTGCTTTTACATCACTTCTTGCTCTTCGTAGAATCTTATTGGTTTGGACATCCGCTACTCCACCAGTGGTGGCTACATGGTTAAGGGATGTTTTATTTTTTCTTAAACTAGAAAAAGTTAAATTCACATTGAAAGGGTCAGTCCAGAAATTTTACTTAAAATGGCAACCCTTTGTCAAATATTTTGAGAATCTTAAAGTATTGCCTGAAGCTTGAGACAACTTTTTATTTTATAATCTAACTTTTCTTCTCTTCTTTTTATTTATTTTTTCTCTCTTCTTCATGTTGATGGGAATGGAGTAGCCTGACTGACAATTGTGATACTGTGAGTCTAAAGCCTTGTTAACCAATAGGGGTCAAAATGTGGACATGCAGTTGTGTGCTTGTTTTTTTTTTTTGTTTTTTTTCAGTTGTGTGCTTGTTTTTAGTGTGTAGATTAGTAAACTGTTTTGAAGAACTGTGTAAGAAATGAAGAGAAAAAAGCTGTTCTCCCAAAATGTTAACTTTTTAAGGGGGGGGGGGGGGGTGGCGGCTGGGATGACTATGTTGGGAGGGGGGAGGGGTATTTTTTATTTATTGTTTTGTTTGTTTGTTTTTTTTGTTGTTGGTTATAAGGTTTTGGTTTCTTAAGATAAAAAATGAAACTGGAGAACTATTTCACTGCTTGTCAAATGTAACATGCTTCATCCTCCAATAAAAAATATACAACAAAATGCATTTAAGGGCTAATAAAGTGGATTTTGCATGATATGTCCCCTTTAAACTAAGCAGCTGTGCTACTTTGTTTCTGAACAGAATTTCTAAACAGCCATTCAGATTTTTGTATTCGCAATGGTGTTTATCACAGCACCAAATACTTTGATATAACTACCAAAGTATTTGGTGTATAATAGGCTTTTTATTTTCAAATGTAAACATTTTTAATCGGGACAACAACGTGTGCTAGATATTGATTGAAAATGTTCTGATTTCTTATTATTGTTCGGTAAAACTTTACAATAAGGCTTTATTATATGACATTAGTTAATTCATTAGTTAACATAAACTGACAATTAAAAATACTTTTAAAGCATTTATTAATCTTAGTTAATGTTAATTTTTAACATTTAATAATACATTATTAAAAATAAAAACCTGAGCTAAAATGAACTAACAATGAGTAACTAACGTTATCAAAGAATAACAATTTCTGCAAAAAATGTAGCTATTGCTCATTGTTAATTGGTTAATGCATTATCTTACTGTCACGTGTGGGTTTTGTTGTGTTTTGTATATCACGTGATTCCTTGTTTGTCATGCGATCCTGCCATGTGTCTTGTCTTTTGTTATGTTGTTGCTCAGTGTCCACGGGTGTTTCTTATCAACCACGCCCCCTTGTTATCTTGATTAGCTTGTTTGTCTGTGTATTTAAACCCCTGTGTTTCAGTTGTTGCCTGCCGGTTGTTGTTTAAATGTTACTTGATTCCTGCCTATTTCTCTGTCCTGTTCTGAGTTCCCTGGATTATCGGTTAGTGTTATTAATAAAAGCTTGCGATTGGATTCACTCTCTGTTTCGTTCCTGACCAAATGTAACACTTACATTAACTAATGAATCTTTATTGTAAAGTGTTACCTATTGTCCTTATAATTCTTTTTCATTTTAATCTGTTTGAAACATTTTGTGTATTATTTAATTTAATTTAAATATTCAGTTCTTTTTGTTATAAAAAAAGGTATTCAATCTGTTTATAGTATGATTTTTTTTTTTTTTGCAACATTTCATTATTGTAATAATACCATATACCGTGATAAAAGCTTCAGCAATTATTGCAACATAAAAATTGTATACAGTTACATCACAATAAATGGTCAAAATAAAGATATAGCATGCAGTCTTTAAAGCCATGTTAACATGTTACATAAAAAATTAGTTTGTACTAATTAGTTTGCATTTTTTCTACCCAAAATATAATTTATGCCCTCATTCATGCTAAATATTTCTGTATTTGTTTTTGCTTTTATGAAAACAAATTAAGGAATTTTTTTTTGTTTGAATGTAGTTAAAATCAACAGTTACCTGTCCCGTTCGGAGTTTCCAGTGAGTCGCAAGTCCATAGGCTGTGTCCATGAAAATTCTGGGCACACTAAGCCCCTCCTCAATGGCTTGAAGTTTAAGTCCCAACAGGTGGCGGTCTATACCCTGCCCCATCAGCGACTGATCAAAAATGGCAATCATTATGCAGTCAACATTAATTAGGATCTTCCACATGAAAACCTGTTAGTTCTTCACCTGTTCAGTGAGGATGCTGTATGCATCAACAGCCTCTCTCAGCAGCTGTACCTTGGCTTCTCTCTTAAATCCATGCAAACACATATTTAATGATTAGTGTTACCCATATATGTGATTCATTTCTCATTTTGTCTCCTCTCCACCATCCTAAATACTCACAGAAACTGCATCATCATCACAGGCCTGTATGAAGCTCAGCATCTGATTGGTCGGAGAACGGATGTAGTCTGTTCGTCCTCCCCTGAACATCCTCAGAGAGGCGATGTCACAGGCCGCACACACTTCATTGTGAACTCTAGCAGAGTACAGGGAGCAAACACACACTTTATTGATTTATTTAATTATCTGTTACTGGACGACAGAACAGTTTCTCTGAAACCCTCACCGGTAGTAGGCCAGCTGAATCGCCAACTGGATGAAGGAATTTGGACTCAGCTTGAGTTGTTTGACAAACTCTTTTCCAAAGCGCTGGAAGTTAAAACATTTGATGTCCAAATCGTTGATGAGACTAAGGGGAGAATATGGTTTTAAAAATACAGATTAGCTTCTTATTATATCAGCTTTTAGTGCCTAATCTCCTCCACTTCCTAATATACACAACATCACTACAAATATCATAAAGGCACAGCTTTTCCAACCACCACTACCCAGACGATAACTAGCTCTATCTGTTGTTCTCAATCTCATATTCCATTGTTCTCATATTTCTGTGTTGCGGTATTTAAGCCTCAAAATACTGGCGATGCCAACCAAAGTATTTCCCGAACTGCAAATACTATTTACACATACTCAAGTAGAGTGGTTCTTGCAGCTCAGACTTTGCAATGTCATTTATTTTTTTCAAACCCATTTAAGAATTCATAATAGCAATATGTGTGTGTGCATGTGTGGCTTCAAGAGAGCAAACATACATCTGTTTTGATTTTTTTTTCATATTACTAAATGCATTTCATACTAAATTCTATAATATATACCAGTATCAATCTTACATTATTTTTCTATTGCAGTTTTTTTTTTTTTGTGTTGTGCTGTGTTGTCTTCAAATTAGAGTGAAGAAAATATCTTCATGCTATGTATCAGTCATTTTCATTGCATTTCCATTGCTTTGGTATAATCACACATTAAATTTGTGCTAGCCAGACGAAGTCCAACATTGAACCAAAAAAATAAGATTATTCAATAAATGTTATTAATTTTTACCCTCACTTTGTCTCCTGCTCTTCCCTTGCCTCTTGGCTGATGGAAGACCGTTGAAGACAGTTTTGGATATCAGAAAAAAAAAGTTTTTTTAACTTGTCTTGCATTTCAGACAGAATATGAACCATTTTGGATATAAGACAGAACTCTGTGTTAACTGGTTTCGGATAACAGACAAAATGGACATCTGACACTTACCCCTTTTCCACCAAAAAAATAATTGGTTCGGAACTGGTGCTGTAAGTAAGTAAATAAGTAAAATTTATTTGTATAGCACTTTTCTCAGATGAAGATCACAAAGTGCTTCACAACAAATGAAAGCATACAACTCTCATAAATACATTGCATCACAAAACAAAATAAAATACATAAAATAAATAAAATAAACAATACGTACACATTAGACCAGCCTAACCACCCTACAATCTAGTTAAAAGCCTCTTTAAAAAGCAGAGTTTTCAGATGGTTTTTAAATTGTTCCACACAATTCAAGCCGCGTATGGAAGGAGGCAAAGCGTTCCACAACCTGGGTGCAACAACTTGGAATGAACGGTCCCCCTAGTTTTAAAATATGAAAGGGGGACAACTAATAGTCTCTGGCCTGTTGATCTCAGACTACGTGAGGATGTACGCAGCTGTATCAGGTCAGCGATGTATGGGGGTGCCTGTCCTTGTAGGGCTCTAAAAGTTAGGACCAAAATTTTGAAGTTTATTCTTAGTCTCACTGGTAACCAATGAAGTGAAGCTAAAACTGGAGTAATATGTGCCCTTTTACTCGTGTGGGTTAAAAGCCTAGCAGCAGAATTTTGGACAGTCTGGAGACGACCAAGATCCTTCTTATTAAGGCAAATAAAAAGACTGTTGCAATAGTCTAAGCGAGACGAGATAAAAGCATGAATGATCATCTCCAACTCGGCTTTTGACACTAAGGCTCTTATCTTAGAAATGTTCCTTAATTGAAAGAAACAGTTTTTAATAAGATCTTTCGAGTGTTTCTCCAGAGACATGGCCGCATCAAAAACAACACCTAAGCTTCTGAGACTGGGCTGAACAGACGAACCTAAGTCACCAATGTGTTGCTTTATCTGAGGGATGCTCTGCTCAGGGGCAATAATTAAAGTTTCAGTCTTGGCTGAATTCAACATTAAAAAGTTGTCATTCAGCCACTGCTTGATCCTACTCAGACAGTTCATCAAAGATGAAAGTTTAAAAAACTCAGTAGGCTTAAAGGAACAGTATAACTGAATGTCATCTGCATACAAGTGATAAGAGACATCCTGAAACTGGCTTATTATCTGTCCTAGAGGGAGCATATACAGAAGGAAAAGAATAGGTCCCAGGACAGAACCCTGAGGGACACCACTCGATAAACCAGCAGTATCTGACATTTTCTGATTTATATAAACACTGAAACTTCTACCAGTAAGGTAAGATGAAAACCATTTTAGAGCTGATCCGGATATCCCTAATAGAGCCTGAAGTTTATTAAGCATAATATTGTGATCAATAGTGTCAAAGGCAGATGTAAGGTCCAACAAAACTAACACTGTGTGCTTCCCAGAATCAGCAGACATCAAAATATCGCTTGAAACTTTCACCAGTGCAGTTTCCGTAGAATGTTTTTTACGAAAACCTGACTGATATTTATCAAAGATATCATTTATCTCTAAGAAATTAGTAAGCTGCTCTGCTACCACTTTCTCTAGAATCTTTGCCATGAAAGGGAGTTTAGATATAGGCCTATAATTCGAGGGTTGCAATGGGTCTAAACTGGGCTTCTTAAGAACAGGTTCAACAATAGCATGTTTAAAAAAGTCAGGAACCACCCCAGTTAAAAGAGAAGTATTGATCATTTCCACAACACAGGGGCCAATACTATCAAAAACCTGCTTAAACAGCATAGTTGGGAGAACATCACTCTGGCCATAGGAGGGCTTTAGCTTATCTAGCAGAGTAGTAATATCAGATGATGACACAGGTTTAAAGGAGAAACACGGGTAGGAAAGAGCCAAAGTACAGGCCTTGTATGCTGGAGGTGGTAAAATGCTAGCTCTGATATCCTTAATTTTCTCAACAAAGAAGTCAAGGAATACATTACTATTTGACAGAGTGAGCACCGCATTTGGAGAAACAGATGGAGAAACAATAGAGTTAATAGAGTCAAATAAGAATTTGGGGTTTTTCTTGTTGGAGGATATTAGCTGAGAGAAGTAGTTAGTTCTAGCATTCTTCAGAAGTTCATTTAGAGAAGCGGTTAATTCCCTAAGGTAGAGCCTGTGAACTTCGAGTTTAGTAGCTTTCCATAAGCTCTCTATTTTCCGGCGTTTACTTCTAAGGCTCTGAACAGATGAATTTATCCACGGGCAGGGCTTTTTAACAGACACAATGCTTGTTGTGCTGGTTCAAACTTGGTTCGGAGCTGGTTCAACTTGCAAAACGCTTCAGAACCTATTCGTTTTTCCACTGACTAGAGCGCCCAGGGAACGACGCTGTTACATCACTGTGTAAGTCGCCATACGTCTTAGCTAGAAACGCTTGCAAGTATAACATTACTTTGTGATTATCTCTAACTCGTGTACCAAGAAGGCTTTAAAACCAGTTCTCTTACGACAGGTTCTCTCGTATTGCATAAGCTAGCTTACGCTACGGGAAAGATTCATCTTTGCTGAGAAGTTGAAGCCAAAAAATTATTCCATAATTTTGTAATCATTGTCAACGCAGTCTCTTCTGAGGCAGACCATGAGCGGGCTAGCTAGCGGCTCATTGGTTCGCTCAGAGAGAATGCACGAACCTATGGGAGAGCGGCGCTGAGTCCGCGGCCAATGAGCGGAAGGCGCTCGCTCACTGCGTCACAGCCCGCCAAAAGGGGCGTGGCTACAGTGTATAAAGGTAGCTCTCCCAGGCTAGTTCGTCGATTCTTTTTCATTCAGCAAGCTACACGCATCCGCTGTCCTGGGAAGAAGCCGCCGTCGTCGAGAAGGCACCTTCTAGCGAGCTCCGGAGTCTGAGGAAGCCGGCCGTCTGCCACCTTCAGCCGCCCTGCAAGCTAGCGCCATCGGACGCGTATCCTTTTATTCCATTTCACTAAAAGAGCAGAGCGTCTTTTTAAAGATGCCTCGAATTTCCTGCGGCTCATGCCGCTCTTCACTCGAGGAAGGAGACCGCCACCCCATCTGCATTCTCTGTCTCGGAGTGGATCACGCAGAGCTCGCCCTCGCCAACGGCTCATCGACGTGAGAGTCTGCGGGGACCCGCGCCGGCATCGAGGAGGAACTAACGCGCCTCCTTTCACAGGCCGTCAACCGCCTGGGTCTCGAGTGGTCTCCTCCCCCCGAGCAACCACCGAACCGCATGGATGGGAAGTTCCTGCACCGGCGCCCGGCCCCCGCCTGCAGCCGGGCTGCACCATTCCTGCCTGAGCTACACCATTCCTGCCTGAGCTTACACTCACGAAATCCTGGAATGCCCCTCTTTCGGCTTGTAACCGCTCCGATGTGTCCGCTTCGCTGCGCTCAGTGGACGGAGCCGCCGAGAAGGGTTATACTGCCATGCCGCCCGTCGAGGACTCAGTCGCCGCTCATCTTTGCCCGCCCTCTGCTAGATGGCGTTCTTCCCCTACGCTTCCTTCAAAAGCGTGCAGAGCGACCTCTAACTTTCATGCCCGCGCCTATGCCGCCGCCGGACAGGCCGCTTCAGCGCTGCATTCAATGTCAGTCCTCCAGGTGCTCCAGAGCAACATCTTGTGCGAAATGGCGAACAGCGGTAGGAAACCGCCCATCCTCTCGGATCTGAGAAGCGCTACGGACCTTTCCCTTCGCGCCACTAAAGCCGCCGCACAAGCCCTGGGGAGATGCATGGCCGCCCTCTGTGTCGCTGAGAGACACTTATGGCTCACGCTTACCGACATGGGAGATTCAGAACGCGCCGTGTTCCTCAACGCGCCTATCTCTCCGACCGGGCTCTTCGGATCTGCCGTCACGGGCATCGTTGACCGCTTCTCCGAGGTACAGAAAGCGACCCAGGCCATGAACTTGTTCCTGCCCCGCCGCGCTAGCTCTTCGGCAGGCCGCTCTCATGAGCCACCTGCCAGAACCCCACAGCAGCGCCCGCCTCAGCAAGCTCAGCAGCCCCAGCGTAGACAGGGCGGCCGCCCTCGCTCTCGCTCTGACAGCCGCCGCAGACAGCCTCCTCCCCGGGGGCCTCGACCCAAGATCACGCTGAAGCCCGATCAACAGAAGTCTGCCTAGCACAGCTGAGAAAAAGGCGGCTCTCTCCCGCTGCAGCCGGACCGCCGTCAAAGCTTCGCCCACT